CCCTCATGAAACGAATACACCACCAAGTTCTCCACAACGGCAGGACCCTCAAATGACCGCCATGAGGGAAGCCCTGGAAAAATTGACAAACGTAGTGGGACGATTGGAAAGGAGTCAAGCCCACTCGTCCCCACTAGATACCGAGGTGAAATCCTCTGTAAGGACAAAGGCAAGGCATCCCCCCACTAGGAGGACTCTCCACTTTTCAAGAGAAGAATCCTCAAGAAGCCGAACTGATGAGGTTAGAAGTAAGAAACCTGAGGCGAGGAGGACTGCAAGTGAGTTCGATAGATTGGGGACCGAGCACTCGCTGACTCCTATGCAAGGACAAACCGACCTGAAACGTCCTTTGGAACAAATAGAACCCGAACTAAGCGCGCTTAAAAAATGCATCGCCGACCTGGAGACTAAAAACAAAGGTGGCACTGAAGATTATCAAACCAAACGACATTCCCCCTTCACTGAGGATGTCCTTATGGAACCTTACCTGAAAAATTGAAAATCCCCCCGATAGCCTCATACGAAGGGGATGGTGATCCTCTCAGCCACCATGACAAATACACCTCGCGGATGGAAATACAGGGGCCAAGCAATGAAATCATGTGTCAGGCATTCCCCCTGACTATGGGAGACAGAGCTCAGAGATGGTTTAGGAGACTGCAGGAGAGGTCGGTAAAGAATTGGAATAATCTGGCCACGACATTTTTGGCCCAGCTCATGGGCTCCAAGGCCAGAACCACGCCCAAAGAACGACTAGTGAGCATCAAGCAGGGAAGAAGTGAATCCCTCAAAAGCTATCTGAGCAGGTTCAATAAGCAATCCTTGGAAGTGGAAAAAATATCTGATAATGAGGCATTCATGGCCGTATTAGCAGGACTAAGGCCCAGAATGAGATTTTGGTGGTTAGTACACGAGGACGGTCCAAGGACTTATCACGAGTTCTTGAACCGAGCTGAGAAATACATAAGTGCTGAAGAAGCTACCTCTGACCAAGAGGAAGCTAAATGCGAAACCGACCTTAGCAATACGGTGAAGGAGAAAAAACCAAGTTGCAGTCCCTAGCCTAAAAGAAAGAAGGACAGGAGAGAAAGAGAACATCCTAGGGCTCAGGCATATAAATTTCGGGAGTACCACCCATTCAAAGCCTCCTTGGAAGAGGTATTCACGCAAGCCAATGCAAAAGAGGCATTTTGCAGACCTATGATCCTAAAGGACGGACATACAGGACAATATCAGGGATGATACTGTCGATATCATAGGATGGTGGGCCATAACACTGATAACTATCGAGACTTAAAAGAGGAAGTTGAGTCCTTAATTTGAAGAGGTCGGTTACAGGAGTTTGTTGCCAAGCCAAAAGAAGTAGATCGACCTACGACGCAGCAGCCGCTGCTGCAAGGGCCACCCACATGAGTTCAGCAGGTAGTCCCTAACCGTAATCCACCCCCACATGTCGAAATCAAAATGATAGTGGGAGGAAATCAGTATATTAAGGGATCCAGAAGGGCGAAACGAAGACAAGCCCAAAGTACAAGAACACGCCGAACTACTGGAATCAAACTCCTCAGATCGATATAGACCCTGGATGGTTTTGGTTCACGAAAGAAGATTCTGAAGGAATCCTTCAAGACCAGAGTGACGCCCTAGTAGTTACAATGACGGTTGTCGGAGTAAAAGTCCACCCCACTTTGGTAGACAATGGAAGTTCGGTTAACATACTATACTGACGAACTTTGAGGCAATTGGAAATATCGGAACGCTACCTCCAATCGTACCCAAGAAAACTACAGAGATTCTCTAGGGATCCTATTGAAGCCCGAGGTCAGATCATCTTTAATGTGGAGCTGGGCGAAGCTCGTCGCCAAAGAAAGATCCTAGCAGATTTTGTGGTGGTCGATTTGTCATTCAATTATAATGCAATATTGGGACAACCCATTTTGCACGAGTTAAAAGCTGCCACATCAATTTATCATTATTGCATGAAATTCCCCACTCCTTACGGGATAGGAATTATCCGAAGAGATCAAGCTGCTGCAAGGGCCTACAATATCGACCTGCCAAGGCCACAAGTCAACATGCTAAGGGGCAGGATGAACATGCAAGCCGGGGAAGCGAGATTGAAGAGACCAATCATTGCGGATCTCTCAGAGATCGACCTAATTGAGAAGAACCTCAAAAAAGCCACAGATGAGCAACTGTCCTTTGACGAGAAGAAGGCAGACCCACATCCTTACCTTACCCACATCCTTACCTTGGAGTTCTGGTAATCTCGCTGCCCGTGGCCGGGGTAACCATTCCCAAAGTCTCGGTGGATACAGGAAGCGCTTTGAACATCCTATTCAGTAACACGCTTAAATGGATGGGTATCACAAATTACAGGTAGATCCTTCAGTTCGGCAAAAGCAGCAAAAACAACGACCTCTGAACCCTGAAAGATATGAAGCACTCAACAAGGAAGTACAAAAACTGTTGCACAATGGTTTTCTCCGTAAGACGAAATACCCGAAGTGGGTTACATATCCGGTCCTTGTGAAAAAAAAACAACGGAGATTGGAGGGTATGCATAGATTTCACCAATCTCAACAAAGCATGCCAAAAGACAGTTTTCCTTTGCCAAGAATAGATCAAATGGTGGACGCCACTGTTGGACACGAACTACTCAGCTTCATGGATATGTATTGCGAATATAACCAGATATCGATATACAGCCCAGATCAAGAACATACCTTGTTTGTAACCGACCGATGTCTTTACTGCTATAGAGTAATGCCATTTGGTCTCAAAAACGCTGGCACCACCTACCAACGACTTGTGAATTCCATGTTTTCCCAGCAGATCGGAAAAACAATTGAAGTGTATGTTGATGATATACTGGTCAAAAGCATCAAGGCCAAGGACCACTGTCAGCACCTGATCGAGATATTTGATATACTGAGGAAGTATGAAATGAAGTTGAACCCAAGGAAATGTGCTTTTGGGGTCAGCTCTGGAAGGTTCCTAGGTTACATTATAAACAACCGAGGAATTGAGGCAAATCCTGAAAAAGTACAAGCTATCATCCAAATGAAGCCTCCAACCAAACCCAGAGAGGTACAAAGTCTAATCGGAAAGGTTGCCGCCCTCAGCTGGTTCGTCTCCAAGTCTACAGACCGTTGCAAATCCTTCTTTGACACGTTACAAGGAGGAAAGAAGTTCGAATGGACCAAAGAATGCCAGGACGCCTTTGATGAGCTAAAGAGACAACTAGCTCAGCCTTCGTTGCTTTCAAAACCTAAGGCAGGCGAGGTCCCAAAGCTTTATTTATCTATTTCAGAGCATGCCATTAGTGCCGTTCTAACCCGAGAAGAAAAGGACGTTCAACACCGGTCTATTATGTAAGCAAAGCGCTTCACGAAGCTGAGCTCAAATATTCACCTATAGAGAAACTGGCATTCACCCTGTTGATGGCAGCGCGAAAACTGAGGCCATATTTCTTGGAACACCCTATTGAGGTCCTCACCAACTCTCCATTGAGGCAAATACTACAAAGACCCGACACTTCAGGTGGGATGGTAAAATGGGAAGTCGAGCTCGGACAATTCGACATCAAATACACGCCTCGTTCCTCCATCAAGGGCCAAGCACTCGTCGACTTTGTCTCTGAGTTTTGCAACGTCCCAATCGAGGAACTATAGAAAGAAACCCCATGGAAACTTTATGTTGACGGTTCATCCACTAGAGAACGATCTGGGGTAGGCGTCGTATTAATCAGCCCTGAACATCGCATATTCTGCGAAACCTTGCCATTTAACTTTAAAGCCTCGAACAATGAGGCTGAGTATGAAGCTCTCATTGCCGGAGCAAGGATGGCATCAGGGTTAGGGATCTCCGATCTAATTATACACTGCGACTCCCAACTAATCGTGAATCAGGTCAACGGTGTATATATGGTGAAAGAAGAAAGAATGGACAACTACGTACGAGTTGTAAGGAAATAATTTGAAAGGTTTAACATCGCCCAAGTCAAACAAATTCCCCGATCTCAGAATGGTCACATCGACGCATTGGCCCGCCTAGATACCAGTGAGGGAATCGAAGAGTTCGATAGCATCCTCGTGGGAAAAATATCTCTACCGTCCACCGAGCTGGCCGAAGCGGTCCTTATGATGATAGACCCCAAACCAACCTGGCAAGACAAGATCATCGCCTACCTAAAAATTGGGAAATGTCCCGAAAGCTCTACAAAGGCTAGAAAGCTTCGAATCAGGTCGGCCAGGTACACACTCATGTATGATGTACTATACAAACAAGGATATTCTACACCTTTGTTAAAATGTTTGAACGAAGAAGCTCAGCACGCTCTGCAAGACATTCATGAAGGAATATGTGGAAACCATTCAGGTGGGCTCTCATTAGCCCACAAGATCGTACGACAAGGATACTTTTGACCTGCAATAAGACGTAATTTCCTTGAATTTATCAAAAGATGCGACAAGTACCAGCGCCTCGCTCCCATCATAAATACTCCACCACACGAACTGAACCCAGTAACAATACCTTAGCCCTTTGCAAAATGGGGGACCGACCTAATTGGACCTATGCCCATTGGAAAAAGAGGTGTAAAATTCGCCATCGTCGTAGTAGATTACTTCACCAAATGGGCCGAGACAGAGCCACTTGCCAAAATCACCGAACAAAAAACAACCGACTTTTTGTGAAAATCAATCATTTGCAGGTTCGGCATACCTCACTCCATTGTTACGGACAATGGAAAACAGTTCGACAACGCACAAATTTCAGATTTCTGTGAAGAGTTCGGTATCAAGAAACATTTCTCAACGCCGAACCATCCACAGGCAAATGGCCAAGTCGAAGCCATTAACAAGATTATTAAGCAGACATTGAAAGCAAAACTCGACTTGTTTAAAGGAGGATGAGTCGAAGAACTTCCCAGTGTGCTATGGTCTTATCGTAGCACTGCAAAGACTAGCACGGGGGAAACCCCGTTCTCACTGGCTTTCAGCGTAGGGGTTGTGATCCCGCTAGAAGTCAGCATTTCCTCGCTGTGCATAACTGATTACGACGGAGAAAGGAACCATATAGCTCTTCGTACGGAACTCGACCTAGCTGAGGAGAAAAGGAACAATGCTGAACTAAAAAATGTCGTTTACAAATAGTGGAATGCCACGAATTATAATCAAAAAGTGCGACAAAGAGAATTCAAGGTAGGATCCCTCGTCTCACGGAAGGTATTCCTCCCCACAAGAGAGGTAGGCAGGGGATGCCTGAGTATGAATTGGGAAGGTCCCTATCTGATAACGAAGGTCCTACTAAAAGGGGCATACGAATTGGAAGACTTGGGGGTAGATCCTTACCCCATCCTTGAAATGCTGAACACCTTAAACAGTACTATTAGTGAACGGGAAAAGTCCATGACACATAAAGCCTGCTTGTAATGTCAATCGCATCAATAAAAAGGGACTTCTTATTTTTGAACATTTTGTTCTGCATTCTGTCGAAGCCCTACTCCATACGCACGCCGATCTAAGGTCGTATGTGCTGCGACCCTTAGTGGAAATTCCTCCTAAGGAATCTTAAAAAGTCCTGCTCCATACGTAGGCCGATCTAAGGTCGTACGTACTGCGACCCTTAGTGGAAATTTCTCCTGAGGAATCTTACAAAGCCTTACTCCATAAACAGGTCGATCTAAGATTGTACGTGCTATGACTCTTAGTGAAAATTCCTCCTGATGAATCTTACAAAGCCCTTCTCTATACGCAGGCCGATCTAAGGTCGTACGTGCTGCGACCCTTAGTGGAAATTTCTCTTGAGGGATCTTACAAAGCCCTGCTCCATACGCAGGTCGATCTAAGGTCGTACGTGCTGCGACCCGTAGTGAAAATTCCTCCTAAGAAATCTTACAAAGCCTTGCTTTATACGCAGGCCGATTTAAGGTCGTACGTGCTGCGACCCTTAGTGAAAATTCCTCCTAAGGAATCTAACAAAGCCCTGCCTCTTACACAGACCGATCTAAGGTTATTCTATAGAATTCCTTATTCTACGAAATTCCTCCTAAGGAATTCTACGAAATTACGTAGGCCGATCTAAGATCGCATGTACTGCGACACTTAGACGAAATTCCTCCTAAGGAATTCTCAAAACCCTGCTCCATATGTAGGCCGAGCTAAGGCCGTATGTGGTACGACACTTGGTAAAAATGCCCAACACATAAGCCTCATTTGGAAAGCAAGAGCTACACAATTAGGTAAAATTCATTTGAAGCAATTCTACATGCTACTATGACACTCATGCAAATTTAGCTAAGCTTGTGAGGTATTGTCACATATAAACTAGATCGCTACTAAAGAAATCATACTGAGCATAAACAGTTATCCATTCCAAACAAAATGCCATGAAACATCAAAACGAAGTTCAATAATAAGCCAAAACATATTACAAAACTAAATACCAAACAATGTTTTCAAGACAAAAAAAAAAAAAAAAAAACCCCAAGGCTTGAAAGGAAAAGAAAAGTGGGAAAGAATGAGGAAATACAAAGCAATATTTGGGATTTCAAAGGAAGTTTTAAGATTTAAACCCTTCATTTTTTTCAAGAATACATTCTGGTTCTTCTATTATTTGTATCTTTTCATTATCTCCCTCTTTTTTGTAATGGATTTCATCTCTATTTTCATGTTCTATCTCTATTGTGTAATGGGCTAAGTGTTTAAAGTTGAGATTTCTCCTAGGGGTCTTGGGAAGCTGGGGTACTACCCTCAACATCTTGGATAACCAGTAATATCCGGACTCCAGCAGCCTCAGACAACTTCCGCAACTCCTCTTTCATTCCCTTCAACGCTTCATCTAGAAAGGCCACGTCAATCTCAGGCCTCTCCTTCCTAATGTGCCCCACCAGCTCCTCCAGTGCTACCACATAGACGTCCTGGGCTACGACGTCAAATTCGGGGGACTCCTTCCAAGACTTCACCGCTCTATCAGCCTTGGCCTCAGCCTCTTCAGCCTTTCTGGTGGCTTCCCTTGCCCTTTCGTTGGCCTCTTGCACTTCTGGATGGCTTCCCTGACCTTGCCACACTCATCCTCAGCCGGAGCTCTGGCTTCTTCCTCTGAGGCTCTCAAGGCCTTGATCTCTCCCATCAGTTTTTCCTCGACGTCGATCCTGGAGTTCAGCTCGATCCCCATCTGATTCAGCTTCTCTTCATACTTCTTCTCCTTCAGAGCAAACTGGACCTTTTCAGCCTCCGTGTTGTTATAAAGACTAAAGGCCTGATCCTTTGCCTCTATAAGCTTGTCCAGCTCAGACTTCACCTATTTTTCAAAAATCAAAAATCAAGTAAGTCAATAAAACAGTTGCTCAAAAAAAATAAAATTAAAAACACCATAAAGTAGGAAGTATACCTTGTCCGCCACTGCCATCATGTATAAATTTCATCTGTGACCATGGAGCTTAGCAGTGACCAAGGCCTCACTAATAGACATCTCATTCAGATAGCCCTGCTCTCTTTCACCCCAGCTTCGGGTAAGCAAATTAGATGACTCCCTCAATGGTGAATTGACCGCGGCAGTCACCTCCCTGGAAGGAGAAGGGGCTCGGAGATAATCAAGAAATATCTCTGGTCGATGTCCCACCAAACTCTCCAAGCTCGACCTCTGTAAATCTGGGCACCTCTCTTGCGAGTCCACAGAGCTGGTCCCGACGACAGAGGGTGCAACTGGGGATGGCAAAGAAGGCGACGGCAGAGTAGGAGACGGGCTTGGTAAAGGCACAGCCTCAGGAATCCTCAGTGCTACCGGGGGCGCAGATCAATTCCTCTTCAGTGGAACCTCCTCCTCCACCTCTTCAGAATGGATCTCCGACCGTTCTGGGACATCTCTCTTTTTTTCTTTTGGCCGTAGCCACTGTCTTGTAGCCTCGCATCTCATCTTGATGAGATGAGAAAATAGTGAAAAGCTCAATAAAATATATATAAAGAAACCACAACCGCGAATGAGGGTCAAAATATTACCTGAACTGGAAGGAGTCGAACTTGAAGCTTGTACTTGTACCAAGCCGGCTCGAAATAAGTACGGATCTGAGATCACAAACTTACAGGACCTTTGCCTTTTGGGTAACGATCTTATTACATCAGCTCGTCTCTGCGTATATTTGGTTAACGTCTCCTTCTTGTAATCTGCACAAAGGAAGAATATCGAGGTCAGTACAACGTCAACATATGTCTTGCTAAAAGACTAAAGCCCAAAAACACTTACATAAAGAATGATAGAGCCTGGGGACCACATCTTCTCTATTCACCTCGACAGAATGAATCCCCTGATACATAGAACCACTCTTCCTTCCATTTCTTAATTGTGGAATGGGTGTCTAACACTAGAGAACCTCTCGTCTTGGGCCTAATGCTTGTGTACCACCAACCCAAGTTTTTCTCATCCTCCTTAAAAGTAAACAGAGAGTTGAACTGCTGGACACTAAGCTCGGGATTCCCCATTTGGTCCCATAGAATAAAGGGCGGCGATTAAGGTTCGCCACCCGTTAGGGCATAGCTGTGTGGGAGCTATGCCACAGAAAGAAAGGAATTTACGAATCGCCCTAGGAAAGGGAAGTCTAAAGCCGGCATGAATGATAGCTGAGTTCAGAGCAACACATCCCTCAGGAGGAGTGTTAGCCCGGTCATATGGTTTTGGTATTATAATCACTACCGAACTAGGGATAGCGTATTTAGCTCGCCAGCTGGCTAACATATCCTCTATTACGATCGACCTGTAAAAACTCACCCCCACTCTCCAGAATTACTCTCCTCAACATCCTTATTGGATCTACCCTCTTCCTTGGAACCCTCACATCCAAAGTCCATGATAGGACGTCCTAAGTTGATTGGGTTAATTATGGAAATAGGAACAGGGGTAAAAACTTCCCTACAACTAGAGGACGAACTCGTCGAAAGGAGGGCTGACTCTTCCTACTGGTTGCCCCAGGAATGAACTCTAGACTCGTCCGAACTCATGTATAAACTAGGAAACAAAGCACAAACTAAAAGAAAGAAGAAAAATAAGAACAGAAGAATACCTGGGAAATGAATTGGAAAAAGGACCTCACTCGAAAATGGGAAAACGAACTCAGGAGATTGCCCGAATATTTGAGAGAGAATAAACCAGCGAAAAGACTGGCTAAAAGGAATTTAAAGAAAGAAAAACTGAGAGGGCATGATCTGAACCCTTTATCTAGAAATGGGGGGAAAAATCAACGGCTCAGAAGCCTGAGAGACCAAAACGACATAGTTTTAACCAAGCTTGCTAAAGAAGCTACTTACAAATGCCGTACAACTCATCCCCGTCAAAAGATGACACTTAGTGCAGCAATAAATGCATTTCTTAGAGAAAGCATCACTGAGGTCAGCCCCCTACGACAGAACTGACCTGGGGGATAATTGTGGACAACCGAACTCCGATCTAATTTAAAACAGTTCGCTAACCCCACCTCAGGCAAATGGGAGTTCGGTTCCTACACCCAGGTCGGAAAATCCCGTCGTTATCTCAGAAAAATATCATGATTACCCCCTATCACATCACCCTATTAATCAAATACACTTGCCGCAGGTAACATCATCGCCGCCCGAAACAGCCAATCCTAAGTCCTAATCCTCAAGCCTCTTGCATGTCATCATTACCTGGGGAAAACATTGACACATGGCCACCGACCACGTCGACCAATCACAGGAAAATTCGGCGACCGATTTCCGAGTTCGGTACTGTTGCTGATTTGATTGATTTGATGTGATTTCGGCTGAAATTATGTATAAATAGTTGAATAGGACTCTTGTAATTGGCAAGTGAATTCATATAACAACTCATATTTTGTGGTCTTTTTTAACAATAAATCGCCTTTTTTTCTTAAAGTTGGCTTAAGATTAACATTGCTAAT